TGAATACTTAAGGACACATATATGATAATTTAATCAATAAAGAAATTTAAAAAAAAAGAATTGAATACTGATAGACTAACAGATCTCTTTTTATTCTGTAAATATTATGTTTACAGTTTTTCTAGTTAACTGCATATTAACTGATCTTCTCTTTCATAAAAGCTCTAGAGCAGAAAAAGAGGAAATGACAGTATACTAACCTCAGAAAAAGAATGAAATCTTAATAAATTTAATAATTATAAGAGGATACTATACAGTGTACAGTGGTAAAGAGCTGCATCCTTGTAGAAGAAGACCTGGGTTTAACATTAAAATAAGTCATTTAACCTCTCTATGTCTAAATTTTCTTATCTTAAAAATGGGGATATTAACAGGAATTACCTCAAAGGATTATGCTGAGGATGAAATAAAATAATCCATACAAAGCATTCAAGCACTGTGCTTGGCTCGTAGTAACAACTCAATAAATGGTAGCTGCTATTGTTACTTATATTTCTGTGGTTATTGTTATTATGGTCCTGAACAGTACTATTGATTTCCTCAATCTCATGTGTTTTGAATGTATGGAATTATTTCTCTGAAAAGGAGGCCTTTGTATCCATTCTGGAGACAACAACAGCTTCATAATTTGACTTTTTCTTTCTCATATTGTGTTTTTTTTAAATATATGTCTTTATTGATTTCAGAGAAGGAAGGGAGAGGGAGAGAGAGAGAAGCATCAATGATAAGGGAGAAACATTAGTTGGCTGCCTCCTGCACACCCCCTACTGGGGATCGAGCCCGCAACCTGGGCATGTGCCCTTGGCCGGAATCGAACATGGGACCCCACCCTCACGATTAAGAAAGAACGCCAAGGGAAGCACTACAGTTAGACTAGGGCAGTGGTCGGCAAACTCATTAGTCAACAGAGCCAAATATCAACAGTACAACGATTGACATTTCTTTTGAGAGCCAAATTTTTTAAACTTAAACTATATAGGTAGGTACATTGTTATTAACTTAATTAGGGTACTCCTAAGGCTTAGGAAGAGCCACACTCAAGGGGCCAAAGAGCCACATGTGGCTCGCGAGCCGCAGTTTGCCGACCACAGAGCTAGGGCATCTCATATTGTGTTTTGGCTGTTTGTATTTACACCAGAATCTTTTAATTGAAAAAATGTACAATTTATAGAATGTGTTAGCTGCTTTAAAACTTCGTAGCAAGTGTTGATTTTCTTTCTCAACCCTTTAGTAATAAAAATAATTTTCTCTTAATTGGGTGCTTTTTGTTTGTTTACAACTGCCATCAGTAATGTTAGTGTAACACTGAAGTGTTGTTAATGTAAGGAGCACTAAATTTAAAAACTTTGACCTACTTAAAATGTTATTTATAAAATTAGTGTTCTTCTTTTCTTTTGGGAACACAGACATTTTCTTTAGAGAAATTTGTCCTCTGCAGCCTGCCTCCTTTAATGTACTCTGCAGGGACCTTTGGGAACAACAGAAATTTGTGGTTGGTATGAAACTTGGAAATCACTACCTCTAGCAAAAGAAGAATTGGTTACTTCTGCTAGGATCATTAGATTTCATCATATTTCTCTGTTCCACATTTTTTCCTTTAAAAATCCTGAGCCTCATCTTAAAGGCCCTTCAGTGGGATAAGAATCAGTGAACTTCACCTAACTCTTTGAAGGTAGGCCTAAGGTTAAGCTTAGTATTCTTATGTAAAAAGGATGTCTAGGATTAAAGTTTCAAGCCTAAAATTACACTAGTGTTTGCCTTCAGTTTAAAAATAAGCATTGGCCATAGAATTTATTAAACACCGTTTTGTCCGAGTTTCTTTTTAATTGAATTTATTGGGATGACATCCTATCTAATAAAGAGGTAATGTGCAAATTGACCATCACTCCAGCACACAAGACGGCCGCCCCCATGTGGACACAAGATGGCCGCCACAAGATGGCCGGCAGGGGAGGGCAGTTGGGGGGACCGGGCCTGCAGGGGAGGACAGTTGGCGGGGACCAGGCCTGAAAGGGAGGGCAGTTGGGGGGGACCAGGCCTGCAGGGGAGGGCAGT